GAAAGGGGGAGGGAAGGGGAGGGAAGAAAGAGAAGGGGAAGAGAGAGAAGGGGAAGAGAGAGAAGGGGAAGGAAGAGAGAGAAGGGGAAGGAAGAGGGAGAAGGGGAAGGGAGAGAGAAGGGGAAGGAAGAGAGAGAAGGGGAAGAAAGAGAGAAGGGAAAGGGGAGGGGGAGGAGGAGGGGAGGGGAGGGGGAAGGGGAAGGGGAAGGGGAAGGGGAAGGGGAAGGGGAAGGGGAAGGGGAAAGGGAAGGGGAAGGGGAAGGCTTCTATAATCGGCAGGAGAACAGCAAGTCTGTGTTGATAGGTGACTTGTGGATCATGGAAAATCTAACAACGGACCTTGAACCCTCCCCTTTTTGGGTGACCTTCAGTTTTGACAATGTGTGCAAGAGACTGGGCTACTGAAGGACATCTACTCTCCAGCTGGGGGCAACAGCACTTTCCCACGTTGGCCTTATTTAAATTCTATCAGCAGCACTAGTGCTATCAATGGTCACCATGAGCCCTTTATTTGTGCACCACCAAAAAGAACAGCATGAACTCTTGACATTCTTTCCTTAAATGACACCTTCTTTGGTATAGATTGTCTATGCTTGACAACATTATACACATGTCCTCTTCTCTTAGCTAGCAAGTTAAACTCTTGTCTCACCTTAACAAAACCTCAGAACAGATGTTAATATCCACTCCCACAAAGCTGACACATTCTTCTACAACACTGTCCAGTGTTGCCTTGAGTAATGTCTGGGATACATCATGCTGAAAAGACAAAAGATGAGGTAGCAATCAAAATAAAGGAGAGGCCATTCATAGACTGTTTACTTCTGCTGATATTTATTGGTAGCTGACTAACACACACCATGGGAAAACTTTATTCCTCTTAAGCACACTGTTAACAGATGTCACTGAGTTGAAATGAAGGGATCTGCTTCCACACATTCTAAACCACGCATACACACTCATAACCACACACAAAAGGAAATGGGGGAAAAAACCCTGATAGATTGAAGGTGTATTTTTGGTAACGATGTTCCTGTAGATGATAGCTTTAAATTTTCAAAATATAAAAGCAAATAAAAATACTTGCAATATTGCAGTCCAAAAGGCTGAAATAACACTGGTGGCATATACCAAATGCTAGTAAAGATGTGGCCCCAGAGTGCTCAAAGCCAAATACGTCACCCAAAGAGTATATCTGATCAAATACACAAAACAAAGCAGTTTTTATGGAAGGTTTATTCGGTGTGGTTTAACTACAACTACATAAAACTTAATCAGGTACTGATACAATATACAATGTGTACTATTAGTCAATATAAGTTAAATTACAAAGAAATAAAAAAATTAACAAAATCTGTAGGAACTGACCCAAGAAGAAACAGAAAACCTGAGCAGATCTATCAGGGATTCAAACTCTAGATTTTATAATAAAAAAGACCTTGGGTCCAGATGCTTCACTGGTGAAAATGACTAAACATTTCCAAGATTAATTACTGTCAGTCCCTCTTAAAATTTCCAATTACAGGAGGGACTGCTTTTCACCTTCTCCTGGAAGGTCAGTATTAACATAACACCAAAGCCAGACAGAGACACAACAGGGAAATGGCACCCCTTATGAACATAGGTGCAACACAACACTGGCAACCCAAAACCAACAAGAAAAGGTACACCAGCTCAACCAAGAACCCTTCTTGTTCCAAGTGGTGATAGCCAGTTTGCAAAAGGTACAGCTATTGATTAATGCAATGTAGATGTACATTTCTGAGTCTTTATCTGTTATAGCTCTGTCCTTTTCAATACATGAGGTATAGTTCCCCATAACTGTGGTGATACTAGGAATAAATAAAAGGTGTTTTTTAACCTTTCAAAAAACATGATATGTATATACTATACATGCGTGTGAGTATACATGTTATAAGATATATGTATATGTTATAGGTTGACAAACATAAAATACACTTAGTATGAATGAACTCAAGAACCAGATACATATTTTAAATTGAAAATAATCCTTGACATTTTTAAACTTTTAATTTCAAATTCAGAAAAATGGAATTATTGTATACCAGTGTCTTCAGAGCAGAATGCTATTAGCATCTTAGCTAGGGCACCCAAGGCTGCAGCCACTCCTTCCTGGGCTTCCCTCTAGCTGATGAAATAATCCTCTGAGCTGCCAGTGATCTTTGGAAGTGATGGAGTGCGTGTGCATGTTTAGAGTGGGAGTTGAGTTGTTCCATGTTTTAGCTACAAGGAAGATGTCATCTATGTATAGGTGAGAGCTTTCAGGATACAGATGTTTGGGCAACGAGTTAAGTTCCTATGAGTGAGCCTGATTAAAGCAAATTCCCTGGCTCACTGCATGAAAGTGGGTTGGAATCATTATTTCGGTCTGTTAATGGTTCCCTATCTGGGATGAATAAATGCTCACCTCTCCAGGAATCATTCATAGAAGTAAAGAGAACTTCTTTATAGCCTTCTAATCATACACTTCAGTGTGTTTTCCAAATAGCAAGAGCATTGCCACACACATGCATAACACAGCTATTAGAAGCAAGAACTTTATTGATACAAATAAAATTATCTAATGCATAGGCCATACTGAAGTTTTCTGAAGTGTCCTAATCATTTTGCACAGAGCTGCCTTCCTTACCAGTCTAGAATTCAACTTGGGGTCATAAACTAGTTGAACTTAGTTGCCTCATCTTTACATACTTTTGCTAGACATCTTCTAAGATGGTTTCTAATGATCCCAAATCCAACTATTCTGTAGGTTTCCACCAAGAATGGGATAAATTAATGACTCTTATGTAGATAAATTATTGTTAATGTTACTATACCAGGTCTAATAAGTGCGAATGGTATTTTTGGCCTTGACTCAATTAAAAATACAATAAGCAGTGCTGAAGAATGGCTCAGTGGTTAAGAGCCCTGGCTGCTCTTCCAAAAGACTCAGGTCCAGTTCATAGTACCCAGATGGCAGCTCACAATTGTCTGTAACTTCAGTTCCAGAGGATCTGTCACCCTCATAGAGACATACATACAGGAAAAACACTGATGAACAATAAATACATTTTTAAAACTAAAAACATCAATTTAAAACTGTAAGAAGCAAAAGAAGAAGTGTGAGCATGTTATACAACCTGACAGCATTGTCGTCACATCCTTGGGACTGCAAACAGTTCACTCACAGCTACCTACATTAAATCCATTCTAACATTTGTGTGTTTCCTTACTAAGCATACATAAAACCATGCTTAATCTTACATTGGTGTGCTAGTCACCTTTCCATCACCATGCTATTAAACAGCTGACATAAACAGCTTAAAGGAGGATTTGTTTCAGTTCATGGTTTCCAGTGTGCTGGGGAGAACATAATAGAGTAAAGCAGCTGAAATCACAGCAATCAGGAAGCAAAGAGAGATGGGAAGCTACGTCCTATGTCCTCATTTACAGAACCTCCCCTGATGGAGGACAAAGCCTTCAGCACAGGAGCCTTTTGCTTTGTACTTCATACACAAACCACAACAGGTGGTGAAGGCTAGTATATTGTTTTCAGGACAATTTTATAAGATTAAGATTCTATTGTAAAGAATGGCATATACACATGCTCAAATATATATGTGATGGGTAAGGTGACACCTCCTCCTATGTGTCAAAACAATAATCTCAGTCAACCATTTATTTATTTAATGATGTTAAATGAAACATGAGGGTAAATCTGTCAGGGATTTATAATGAGAAGTCACCATCACTCAATAGAGACCATGAGGAGCTTTGCACTATGTGACAGGACAACCCTGAGAGCAGCTGACTCACTGAGGACGGTGCATACAAGGAAAGAGGGAAGCTTCAGGGTGAACTGGCTCTGGACTCACTCCTCTGAGCTTCTGGTAATGAGGTTTCCTCATGCTTAACTGTTCAAACATCTTTGAGCCAAGACCACTGTTTTCCAACTAAATGGCTATCTAGGGTCTCAAAGGAAGACATAGCCGATGAAAAGAAGAAGCATACTACCAAATACCTTTTTTTGTACCTTTTCCCACACCCAGTCAAACATTATTTAAGTCTTTATAACATCATCTAATTGAATTCTCACAACAGTCTATAGCATGTATCTATTTCTCATAGTATCTTCACAATAAGAATATTCCAAGGAAACAGCAACACAAATGTAAGGGTAAGTGTGTTGTTCCTATGTCCACCCACAGGGGACGCAGACAAACACATGATAGAACAGCTACACAGTGATGTATTCTGAAACTAAAAAATCAGTCAACCAATTGAATGAAAACCAGAGAAGAGCAGCTATTTCACTAGAATCCCGTATTTAAAACCGTCGTGCATACCTGAGCTTGTGATCCCTCAGTAGCCCTTCCTTAAGTGAGCACTGCTGTCTACTACCATCATGGCCTTTGCTAATAATGACTTCCTCTATCTTTCTGCTCAGGAAGGATAAAACTGTCTCTTGTCTATCTGGGGAGGATACTAAAAGTCCTGCACTGCACTTGTCACTGGCTGAAGCAGAGGTGTCCACTTCTACTCTCTACCAGATACTGCACATGGAGTTAGTGCTGACAGGGCTGGGAAGTGACATTCCTGCAATGTCCAGAGCTGCGCTGAGACTTGCTGAAAGCAGACACATGACACACGGCGCTACCTGAAGTCACAGGTCCCCAGCATTCACTACTAATTCCCAAGGACCTGTGCCAGAAAAAGTGGGCCACTCTATTTCTGAAAAGGAGTTACCGAACTCTGCATTTGGACGAGGGGGAGTATGTGAACTGTATAAACAGACTCCTTCAAATTCAAGGGCCGTTATTTTTTACATAAAAATTATGAGATTTTAAAAAAGGATTCTAAATAGTCATTTATGCTAGTCAGCTTTTTTGAGGACAGAGTCCACATTTTTATTACTTACCACAAACTTCAGGAGATTACTCATGAAACTGCTTGTTTTATTCTGTCCTGAAGCACTAAAATCATCTCACAATCATTTCTTTTTTAAAAAGCCCTTCCAGATGCAACAACACTTCACTTTACATATTCCACACTAAACTTCAAGAGTCGTTCTCTGGCCCAGTATTCTTTTGGAGTCTTGATTTATTTTATTATCATTCAGGTCCTTTCCTGGCCCTTAAAGATGACCCAGACACAATATACAGCTAAAAACCAACATGCTAAACAAAGCAGCAAAACAACAGCACTTTATGGGAAACTCCAACCAATTGTAAGCAAGGCCTGTTTCCTCCTCTTGCATGTCCTTGGCTTTGATTGACATGGGGCAATGTGAGTCCTCCAGGGAGTGTGAGAATGACCCATGGGTGAAGGAAGTGACAGGAGCCAGGGAAGCACTGGAGAAAACAGGACACAAAGGTTCTTATGAAGCCCCAGGACAGAGAGCCTTTAGTCAGCTGGTTCTAGCTCTGCCCAGGCACAGATAATTCTCACACACAACCAGACAAACGATTTTGAAAAAACCCAAGAGTTCTTCATAAACACCTCCCTTAAACACATGTACTGAATGGCATAGAGGAGTTCTGTGCTTTAAATAAGCAAACTGTGCAGAGAACAGCTCACTGTGCTTATGGGGCCTTGGGATTAGGATGGCAAAGGGCACTAGTCTTTCAGCACCAGAGGGATTTTCAGGATCTGGAAACAGACTGAAATATGGCCAGTGGTTAGGAGAGAAAAAAAAAAAAAAAACACAGGAAGAAGTCTCTGCAAACCCTCCTGAGGAAGCAGATGGCAGGGATGCTGGA